GCATCCAGAATGACATTCACAGTAGCTACATTTAAGAGGGAATCAATAAAGTCTTTACTGAATGATATAAGATTTAATAAAACAGAGAAGATGACCTATGAAGTGGATGTACAAACTGAAGACATGGCAAAAACCTGTGACGCTGCTACACAAACAATAGCAGAAGACGAAATCACATCGATAGAAAATATCGAAACCCTGGAGAGTCTACAAGATAGCATAGACAACAACTGGTCAGAAGAAGTGTTCAAAAGGACGGAGATAGTAATCGGAAACCCAATCTTGGCCAACGAGGAAGTCGCAAAAGTAATCCTAGTCGAACCAAAAGACAAAGAGATGAAGAATAGTATTCAGAGACTGTACAAAGAAAAATATCCGGATTTATGCCAACTAGATGGAGAATTCGAAATTATGGAACAAAAAACGGTTTTTAGAACGTCGAAGAAAAAGGAAATAAAAAAGATGATAATTAAAATAGAACACGACGGAACAATCGAAAATTTATGGACTCACCTAAGCAGACTTAGGGAGGAGACAAAAGACGTCAGCCGGGTAGCACTCCATCATATCGAAGATATTCCAGTGAATAAATTCAGGAAAATCTGTGAAGTAATATTTCAAAAGACTAATACTAAGGTTGGAATCTTTACGACCAAAAGAAAACAAATGGAGGAGATTGATGTAAGGCAGAAGGAGCGGAAAACCTATGGTATCATAGTGAACCAGAACAGCGAGCAGTACAATGAAGTACTTCTAAAAGTTAAAAAGGTAGTGGCGGCAGATGAAAACATGACGAAAGCAGTGAGAACGATTAGAAGTACGAGGGATGGAAAAATGATAATTACTCTGGATAAAGATAAAGAAATGCTAAGAAGTATCAGTGAAGCAATAAACAAGGAAACCGGGGTTAAAACCAGACAACTGGGAGGCGAAAGGAACCAGGAAATACTCCATATAAGGGGCATGGATGTTAACACAAAAAAAGAGGAAGTGGTGGAGGCCCTAAAAGAAAATAGTATTTGGAAGGAAGAGAGCTGTAAAATCAGTGAACTCAGGCAGCAAAGTGATAAAACACAAGCAGCCACACTAGTGGTAGACAAGGAAACAGCACAAGATTTGCAAGAAAGAAATTTTATAAAGATTGGAGTGGTTAGATGCCGGATTGAAAAAAGACACAAAATAAAAAAATGTCTGAACTGTTGGTCACATGAACATTATACCAGGGAATGCAAGGAGGAAAAAAGAACAACGAGATGCTTTAAATGCGGACAGGAAGGGCATGTGGTCCAGGAATGCCAGAACGAAGAAGCCTGTCCTACGTGTCAAGAGAAGGGCCACGTTGCAGGTACTTTCAAATGCCCAGCTTTTAAAAAAGCTGTAAAAGAGGCAAGAGCGAGAACAATAAGTTTTAGCAGGCAATCGTCCAGGATTTCTACCATATCAAACGATGGAGACGAGATGAGAAGCATGTGGAATGAAGAAAGCCAGCTCCCAATAAAGGACTGGGTAAAGGATGGGCAGGACAGACCTGTAAAGTAAAACAAAAACCAAAGCACCAAATTTTATTGAATTCTATTCTACATATATTTATATACAAACCTAAATCTCACTAGAACTTATATTTATACATTTCACCTATTTATATATTTTATACACTTACCTTATATATTTATCTTATATACTTACCTTATATATTTACCTTATACACTCACCTTATTTAACTACCCCATATACTTACCTTATATATCTACCTTATGTACTTACCTTATATTCTCACCCTATGTACTTTTATCTTTTATCTATACTAGTCATTGTTTTAATTAGATGGTAGGTACAGTTTTACAAATAAATACAATTTTATACTTACCCTTAAAAAATGAAAGTACTCCAGGTTAATCTAGGCAGGGGGAAAGTAGCGCACGATAACATGATAGAAACTGCAACAAGGAAGCAAGTTGATCTTGTCATCGTATCGGAACCCAACATGGCATACACAAAAAGAAAGGGCTGGATTGTTGATAAGGATGGTATGGTAGCCGTCTACATAAGCAATAGAAACTGTGGGATCGAAGGTGTCTATACAGAAAAGGGGTTCCTAGTAGTTAAATTTAAAAAAATATCCTTAATATGTTGCTATATCAGCCCGAACATCGAACATGCAGCATACGAAGAAAAAGTCGACAATATAATGAGAAAAGCAGCGCAGTTTAACAGAGATGGGGTAATTATAGCCGGAGACATAAATAGTAAATCTGTTGCATGGGGATCCCCCAGTACAGACGCTAGAGGGGAGATCTGGACGGACTGGATGGCTGCCTTGGATCTGGTAGCAATTAACACAGGCGCACCGACGTTTGTAAGAAAGAAAACCGCAAGTCATATAGACGTCACATGCACATCGAGCAAGACAGTAAAACATGTCAAGAACTGGCAAACTTTAGATCTAGAACTATTTACTGACCATAAATACATTTACTACGAAATATCAGACGCCGAAACTGGGACAAGAAGTACAACGAACTGTAAAACAATATACGATCTGGAGAAATACAAAAAAGCCATACAAAACGAAAACTATACAACCCCAGAGCAGCTAATCAGGACGATAAAAAAAGGACTAAAAAAAGCGACAGTCAAAAATAGGAATTATAACAGACAACTACCCTATTGGTGGACCCTTGAAATAGCAACCCAGAAGAAAAAATGTATAAAAATAAGACGAACATTAACCAAAGTAAAACCACAAAAACCTAACGCACAACATATTTTGTATATGATAAACGAGCTAAGACAGAACAAAAAAGAGCTGAAAAGGATGATATACTCCTCGCAGAAGAAGTGCTGGGTAAATCTTTTAAATGATCTAAACGAGGACATTTGGGGACAAGGGTATTCAATCGTAATGAAACACTTAAATTACACACTACCATATACGTTATCTACCGAAAAGAAAACAGATATAGCAAAGCACCTATTTCCACAGGCAAGCGACAGGTTAGAGGAGATAAAAGTTACAGAAAAAATACCACCTTTTACTATCGAGGAACTAAGTGAAGTTGTAAACAAGATAAAGTCCAAAAAAGCACCTGGACCAGATGGAATTTCCCCCGAAATAGTAAAAAAGACGTTCGAGATACATCCAAATAAAATACTGAACATTTTAAATACGACACTAAAAAATCTTAAGTTTCCAGATAAATGGAAAACAGCAAAGGTAATATTAATAAGAAAACAACAAAAACCTATAGAGCTGCCCTCCTCATTTAGACCTATATGCCTGATAGACATAATTGGGAAAGTCCTAGAGGGACTTATAAAAAGAAGACTGGAATCTGCGTTGGGAGAAAACGGCCTCTCGGAGAGGCAATTTGGCTTCCGTAAAGGGAAGTCTACAGTGGAAGCTGTAAAGTGGATAATGGAGCAGACAGAAAACTCCAAGTGCAAATGGACCGCGATACTTACGCTAGATATCGAAAACGCATTTAACACCGCAAAATGGAGCGAAATTATAATGGCACTCAAGGAAAAGAAGGTAGATAATTATATCATAGTCATGATAATTGAATATTTCAGGAATCGTAAAATCCAAATTGATAAGCGAAACGAGTTAGATGTAAATGCAGGTGTGCCCCAAGGATCTGTGTTGGGTCCAACATTATGGAACGTTTTGTATGACCAAGTACTAAAGGTAAAATTAATGGAAGACTGCTGCACTGTAGCCTTTGCCGACGATCTGGCGCTCCTAATAAACGCGGATAGCAAGGAAGAAATGATGTACAAAGCGAATGAATGCCTAGCAAGAATAGCTGAGTGGTTAGAATTAAAAAATCTAAAATTAGCCAGCCATAAGACGGAAGCACTGATCCTAAAAGGTACAAATCAATCAAAAATCCGAGAAAAAATTAAATTTAATATAGGCTCTTATATAATACATCCAAAAAAGACAATTAAATATCTAGGAATCTTTCTAGATCACAATAGAACGTTTGCGGTACACGTAAAAAATGTCTGCAAAAAGGCAGAAGAAAAAGTGACCACACTCTCTAAAATTATGCCAAACATTGGAGGCCCAAGTAGCTTAAAGAGAAATGTGCTAGGGGAAGTTGTTCACTCAATTTTGCTCTATGGAGCTCCGGTGTGGGCAGGGGCGCTGAAAATGAATAGATATGATAATATGCTAGGAAGGATTCAAAGGAAAATGCTACTACGAACATCAATGGCCTACCGAACTGTATCAAAAGAAGCCTTAAATGTGATCACTGGCACCCTACCGATAGATCTTTTGATTCTGGAGAGAAAACGAATATACGACGAGCGACTGACGGGAAACCTACCAAAGACAAAAGCAAGGGAAGAGTCGGTTTTATTGTGGCAGGAAAGATGGGAACAGCTGAACGATAAAGCTCAATGGACGAAACGCCTAATTCCTAACATAAAAGAATGGCTAAATTGCAAACATCGAGAGACGGACTTCTACTTATCGCAATTTCTGACAGGACATGGGACATTCCAGTATTACCTAACGAAGATAAAGAAAATTAACAACGACAAATGTCTCTACTGCAATGAATCGGATACGACAGAACATACAATTTTCCACTGCCGTCAATTCCAGGAAGAAAGAAAAAACCTAAAACAAAATATAGGAGTACATCTAACGCCGGAAAATATCATTAACACGATGATAAAAGACAAACAACAATACGAACAAATAGCAGAATACATAAGAAACACAATAAAGGTAAAGATCCAAAGAGAAAGAGAAAAAGAAGAAGAAATAAGGAATAGAAGATGAAAGGCCACCGACCATGCAGACTCGACGAAAGTCCTAAATAGGACGGTACCGAGCTGCAGATGGTGCGGAGAGGCAGAGGAGTTTTTTAAACGATCTACGGGACAGGGGCCTCGGAACCCCAGAACCGGTCGGATGGGCGAGTGAGCGAGTGGGCTCCCCCCGACCGTTAGCCAGCGACCGCTCTGGTTCTCTAATGGATAGGCAGGTTAGAGATCCAATATCAGCTACTGCCCAAGGGGAGGTTAAGGAAGGCGAAGAGTCAAGGTTGAAGGAGTGGCTCAAGCAGGATATAACCGTGCGAAGAAGCTCTATACCACGGACACCGGATAAATTAAAAGACCGACAGGGGCAGCATAGCGAAGGTGAGACGTTCTCTACTCCGGTAGGAGTGCTCACTCAGAAGAATGCTGGAACAAGCACAACAGATAGCGAACTACAATCGAACGTGGTAGAAATCCCCGACACAAGTCTAAAGGAGGGAAAAGCGAAAGAAGAGCAAGACTGGACGGCCCAAAAAGCCAAACGCAAACGAAAGGAAGAGGACTCACCGACGATGGGAAAACAAACGCCAAACAAAGAAGATAAATGGGAGGAGGAAATAGGGAAAACCCTAGAAAAACTGGTAAGACAAAATCGAAATCTAAATGAACTAGTGTCAAAAAACGCGAATACGAAAAGAGAATTAAAAACTGCGATCGGGAACTTAGGATACCTAATATCAAGAATAGAAACGCAATATAATACGCGCCAAACAGAAAGGAAAAAGGCTGTCGGTATCGAAATAGGTACTCAGACTGAGCCGATAGAACTGAGTACGATGGATAAAGGAACCCAGGCGAACGAGGAAGAGATGGAACTAGAGGAGGCCATAGACAAAGCTCGTGACTATCAGGACATGGAGATGTTGCTGGATCGCTACTGGCCAGAGGAGGCCTTCAAAAAGACCAGAGAGGAAGTGGAATACCCAATAAAGGCGGATAAAGGATGGGATCTCGCTATTGTGATGGATCCAAAAAATAAGGAAACAGGGATAGGGAGAATATTAAAGGAACGTCATCCAGACGCATGGGAAGTAATCGGGACGGATCAAAGGAAACTAAAAACGATGAAGCTCTACACCAAAGCCATAACCTATCACGGAAAAGTAGAAGAAAACGAAAAGCACATAAGCGTAATGGAAGTGGAAGAGGTGGAAGGAAAGGTTGAAAACGAACAAATATACAATCTACTAACAGAACTGGGAAATATGATGGACAAGGAAAACAGGAAAAAAATTATAATTGCAGTGGCTGAAGGCTTGAACAGAAAAACCTGCAGGAAAATGATCGAATGTGTATTTAGACTAACTGATGTGGAAATTATCTACAGAGTACCAGCTCGGGAGCAGGATGCTGTAAATATAGCGAATAGGGGAGCACAGAGGGAAACGAGTAGCTCGATATTAATCAAGAGCACAGGAAGCTCGTACGCCGACTTACTAAGAAGAGTCAAGGAAAAGGTGGACATAGAACAACTAGGAATCAAAGTTAAAAGGATAAAACAAGTGGGAGAAGAGGACGTGCATATAACAGTCGAGGGCGGAAAGGATAAGGCGGAGCGTTTAAAGGGTAAAATAAACCAACACTGCAAGGATATTACGATTACTACCAGGATGAGCGGAACCACAATACTTATACTAGGAATGGGAGCGGACACGGAGGAGCAGGATATTACAGAGGCATTGGTCAAAACCGTAAACTTAAAAGCAGAACAAATCGACGTGAGGGGAATTAAGACAGGAAAATCAAAAGAAAAAACAGCAATTGTGGCCATCCCAAGGCAGGCAGCGCTAGAGCTCATTGCCGCAGGGGAGATAAAGATAGGTTGGTTAAGTTGCGATGTAAAAGAGCACGTAACTATCGCAAGGTGCTACAAATGTCTAGAGCATGGTCATAGAACAGCGGAATGCAAAGAAGTAGGAAATGGAACTGAGATATGTTTAAACTGCGGACAAGAAGGACACAAAGCGAAAATCTGTAAAAACGAGTCGTACTGTATAAAGTGCAAAATGAAAGGGCATAGGGCCGACCAAATGAAATGTCCAGTGTTTAGAGAACTAATAATCGAGACTAGAGAAAACAAAATGAGAACGAGGCTGGTGCGTATGGAAAGTAGGAATAGCAATAGACCTAGCTAACGCGAAGTGATATACTAGTATATGTTCTGTGTCGTTGAAATTTTACTGTGCATGTTTTTGTCTTTTAGGCTATGTATAAAAAATCTTAAGCAATGAAAATTTTACAATGTAATTTAGGAAGAAGTAGGACCGCACATGATGTAGTGCATGAAATCGTGGAGAAAAGAAAAATCGACTTTCTAATCGTTTCGGAACCGAACAAAAAAATAACCGAAAAAAGAGGATGGATCAGTGACACCCGGAGAGACGTGGCGGTTTATATTCGAAACAAACAATGCGGACTAAAGAAAGTGGAAGCACTATCGAGATACATCGTATGTGAGTTCAAGGATCTGTGTATAATAACGTGTTATATCCCACCCAGTCTGGGCAATAAAGAATACGAGGAAGTAGTAGATGACATTATGTACAAGGTCATACACATCGGGAAGGGGAACGTCGTCATAGCCGGCGACATTAATGCGAAGGCGCCGGACTGGGGATCCCCCATTACGGACGCCAGAGGACTAGTGTGGGCCGACTGGATGGCAACCCTGGGATTAGTGGCAGCGAACTCAGGGGCACCAACATTCGTTCGAGGAAACACGAAATCACATATAGATGTGACACTTTGCACCAAAAAAGCGGAAAAATTTATCAAGGACTGGAGAGTGCTAGACGAAGAAATCTACACACACCACAAACATCTCTATTACGAAATATCGGACAAAAAAACCGGAACAAAACCGTACCAAGCGAACAGATATGCATACGATGTAGATAGATTTAGAAAACTCTTGAACACTGAGAACTACCCGATGAAGAACCTAGCAGAGCTAACAAGTACGATTAAAAAATGCGCAAAAAAAAGTGAACTCAAAAATAAAAATACGATGAGAGAGATACCGTACTGGTGGACAAGCGATATTAGAGATGCAAAACAACGATGTATTAAAATAAGGAGGGAAATAACGAAGATGAGAAATGAAGGAAGAGCAAAGGAAGACAAAAAAATCGAGTTAAAAGAACAAAGAAGGGCCCTAAAGCAACTAATAAATGCCAGCAAAAAGCGCTGCTGGGCGAAAATTTGCGAAGAACTAGAAGACGATGTCTGGGGGCAGGGGTACGCTATCGTGATGAAAATGGTAAAGCCGCAACAGCCATATGTACTCCCTACTGATAGGAAAGAAAAGATAGCCAAAGACCTATTCGTAACCAAGGTGGACAACTGGGTAAGGACCGAGAGAGTAAAAAATGTACCGTTATTCACAGAGGACGAACTCGAAGAAGCTAAAGGCAGAATTAAAGCAAGTAAAGCTCCCGGTCCCGATGGCGTGCCCCCAGAAATTATAAAAGCGACTCTGGAAACAAGACAAAAGGAAATCCTAGGAATACTGAACGAGTTAATAGAAAAACAAGAATTCCCTCGGGAATGGAAGGAATCGAAGTTGATTCTTCTACCAAAGCCAGGAAAGAATCCAGAACTGAGCAGCTCATACAGGCCCATCTGTCTTCTGAATGTACTAGGAAAGGTCTATGAAACCCTCATAAAAAGTCGGCTTGAGAAGGAAATCGGAGAAGATGGTCTTTCAGAACGACAGTTCGGCTTCAGGAAGGGGAAATCGACAATACAGGCGGTTCAGTACGTCCAGGAATACGTTCGCCAATCGACTAGTAAGTGGATCGCTCTCATAACACTCGACATCAAAAATGCATTCAATTCGGCAACGTGGAGTTTGATAATAAGAAACTTACGAAAACGGAAAGTGTCAGACTACTTGGTAAGGGTGATAGAAAGTTACTTTTCCTACAGGAAAATAAAAGTCGACAAATCAGCTGCTATCGAAGTAAACGTCGGAGTTCCACAGGGTTCGGTCCTTGGACCAACCCTCTGGAACATATTGTACGATGAAGTCCTGAACTTAAAAATGGAAGAGGGGTGTACGAATCTGGCGTTTGCGGACGACCTTATGGTCATAGTGCAGGGGAAAAATAAACACGACCTAATGGACAAAGGGAACCGAGCCATCAATTCCGTCACGGACTGGATGGAAGATAATAAACTCTGCCTAGCTGGGCAGAAAACCGAAGCAATTCTCGTCAGGGGCGCGAAACAAAAGAAAGCTCGAGAAAAGGTGCAATTCACGATAGAAGACCACAAGGTGGTGCCCAAAACAGCCATCAAATATCTGGGAATATACCTAGACCACCGGGGCTCATTCGGCGTACATATTAAGGAAACCGTAGCAAGAGCGACAGAGAAGATGATAAAATTGCAGGGCATAATGCCCAACGTAGGTGGAATGACTAGCCGCAAAAGGGAAATCTTGGGAGGCGTAGTATACTCGATTATGCTGTATGGCGCACCAGTATGGAGGGAAGCAATCGAGGTGGAAAAATACAGGATGCAGCTTATTGGTGCCCAAAGGAAACTCCTGCTACGTATCGGCTGTGCATACAGGACGGTATCATCGGAGGCCCTACAAGTTATCGTGGGTAACCCTCCCATTGACGAAATGGTGAGGGAGAGGGTGGAAGTACACGTCAACGAGTGGAGAAGCAGGAAGCAGAAGGCCCATGCCCGATTGCTTACACTGGAGAGATGGCAAAAGAAATGGGACGCCCTCGAAGGGAAAGCTGCATGGACAAAAAGGCTCATACCCCGGATAAAACCATGGTATGAGTGCAAATTCCGGCAAGGCAACTATTTTCTCACGCAGTTCCTGACCGGACACGGCTCTTTTCGACAGTACCTAAAGAGAATTGGCAAAATTGAAAACGGGGACTGCAGCATATGCCAGCAGGAAGAAACACCGGAGCACGCGGTATTCCAGTGCAGTGAGTACCGGGAGGAGGTAGAAAGGATAGAGGAGCAAGTTGGACATCGATTAAGACCGGAAAACGTGATAGGAGTGATGATGGAAAACGAAAGGAACTGGGATACAATAGAGAAAGGAATAAACAAAATAATAAAAGAAATGGAAGATAAGGACCGCAAACGAACATAGAGTGCGTATCGAACACATTCACTTGGTTGACGTAAACCAGCAACGGTAGTCCCAACCAGTGAAGGGTGAATAGGGGCGAGGTGGTTTTAGTGGGTATACAAGGCTTGCACACCCCGCCTTGGAGTCCTCACACTACCGGGGAAGGGAAGAACCTGTACCCGGTGTGCATAAAGCATTTCCACCCGGCAAAAAAAAAAAAAAAAAAAAGGGTAGGGTAGGGTAGGGTAGGGTAGGGTAGGGTAGGGTAGGGTAGGGTAGGGTAGGGTAGGTAGGGTAGGGTAGGGTAGGGTAGGGTAGGGTAGGGTAGGGTAGGGTAGGGTAGGGTAGGGTAGGGTAGGGTAGGGTAGGGTAGGGTAGGGTAGGGTAGGGTAGGGTAGGGTAGGGTAGGGTAGGGTAGGGTAGGGTAGGGTAGGGTAGGGTAGGGTAGGGTAGGGTAGGGTAGGGTAGGGTAGGGTAGGGTAGGGTAGGGTAGGGTAGGGTAGGGTAGGGTAGGGTAGGGTAGGGTAGGGTAGGGTAGGGTAGGGTGGGGACCAAATGGTCGGGTTTTGGGTCTGAGCTGACCCAGTGGGTCTCAGTAGGCGCGGTAGGGTGCCCATACTTACCGTGCAATAAAACGCTGAGCCCGCAGTCCTGCGTGGACGAACCGGCAAATCCTATCTCCACCTCCTCGTGGTGGTCCCTGGTAATCCGGGGCGTGCTGTGGGAGTACGTCTCGGAGCCAACGGAGAAGGGTTATGGCGAGCTTCCGGCGCCTGAAAAAAAACTGGAATTAGTGGGCTAAGGGAAGGAAAACCCCTACAGAAAACCGCAAAAATATGGAGATGTCGAACTTAAAACAGAAAGTACCCCAGGGGGGTAGGGCCGATGGCCCAGAATCCCCCCCTGCAAATGCAGGCTGCCCCACGGATTCTGGGGGGGGCAAAAGGTCGATGCCATCAACAACGAGTGATGGAGAGTCAAGCGAGAGAGAGCAAGAGCAAATTGTGTTCTACGGTAGGGAATTGAACCGTACACCACCAAGAAAGGGGAGGAAAACCGAAGCGTCCCAGAAAGACCTATCAATCATCATCCCGTTGCAAAGAAGAGAATTAGCAAGAACGCCACCAAAGATAAGCAGGGAAAGGACGAAGACAACTTTAAAAGACAGCGAAGAAAGAGGAGCCCACTCATTAGAACGACCGGAAATATTGAGAAAGCAAAGATCGAGTTCTTTGGGAGGAATCAAGAGGAGAAGAGAGGAACCTGAACAGGAAATAAACGAACTGAGGGAAAAAGTAAAGAGTTTAGAAGTAGCAGTAAATGAACTTAATAAGATGATAGCAGATAGTAATAATATAAAAGGAGCAATAAAGAATAAAGCAAGAGAAATTAGCCGGCACACTGAGTGGGTTAGCAGAATAACAACACGATTAGAAGACGAAAGAAATCTAGAAGCCACTAAGGACTTAAAAGTTGGAAAGGAGGAGGGAAAGAAAATGGTAGACGCAACAACGCAGGTGGACTTTGAACCTATCAACGAAGAAAGGAAATTAGCACAAATAAATAAGTGGATCATCAATAGTATTGCAGAGAATAGAAACGAGGAAGAAATTATCGAATACAATTGGCCGGAGGAAGCCTATAAACGCACTCATATGATCTACGATTCACCAAAGCCGGAAGACCTAAAAGGAAAGGCAGCATTTATTTTAAACGCGAAAATAAAGAAAGAGGAAATGGGAGTGAAGGAGATGGGACTCATAATTCCTGAAATTTATAGCATCATAGAAGAGGGCATAAGTGATGAGGTGGAAGTAATAACCAAATGCTCCAGTATAGAGTATGGAAATGGGAAGATAGTTGAGGATAGGAATAGGATGTATGTAACGCCGTTCAGGATTAATCCTGATGGAACGGTAGATAAGAGGAAATTAATAGAAGTTAGTCGCAAGCTAAGACAGTTAGTAGACGAGGAACAGGACGGAGAATTAAAAGTAATTGCGATGGGAGATGCACCACTTGACTACCTAAGGAAAGGACTTGAACTAGGATTTAACAAAAGCAAATTAGAAATTAAAATCATAACAAAAAGGAAAGAGGAAACGATTAAAGCCAATAGGAGGACAGACGACAAGCTGATTTTAAAAGCAGAAGGAAGAAGTTACGCTGATATGCTAAAGGACATGAAGAAACAAGTTGACGTGGAAAAACTGGGTGTTAATATAAATAGGATTAAAAAGACTGCTAGCGGCGATTTACTATTACAAATGAAAGGAGGGAGAAGTGCAGAAGTTTTGAAGCGTGCGCTAAAGGAAAACATGACGAATACGGTGGTGATACATAAAAAGGACACGAAAACAATACAAGTGCTGGACATTACAGCCGACTTGGACAAAGAGGAAATAATAGAGGCCATCCAAAGGCAAACGTGTCTTGGCGAGTCAGTGGAGATTAGGTCAATTAGGGAGAGACAGGATGGGAATAACGCCGCCATAGTGCAAATTGGCCGACGAACAGCGGAATACCTAATCAAAGAGGGAAGGATTAAGATTGGCATGCTCATGTGCAGGATAAATGAATGGACGCCGATTATGAGGTGCTATAGATGCCTGCAATATGGGCACAGGAGGGAGGAATGTAAAGGTGAGGACCGGTCAAATAATTGTCTGAAGTGCAATGAGGCAGGACACCTGGCCAAAGACTGCGAAGAAAGAGAATTCTGTGTTGCATGCCAAATAGATGGCCATAGGTCAGATAGATTGGCATGCCCGGCATACAGGAAAATTATTGCGGAAGAAAGAAAGCGAAGGAATTCAAGAAGAACAACGAGGGGAAGCGAAGTCAGAGAAGAGAAGAGGCCAGAGTCGGGGGCTGAAGGCCTGAAGACTCCCTCATCTTAACGATGACTCTAAAAATACTTCAGACCAACCTAGGTCGTGGGAGAGCAGCTCACGACCTAGCATTTTCCACAATGATGAAGAGGGACGTGGACATTCTAATAGTAGGGGAGCCGAACAAAAAACTGATTGAGGGGGGTAAATGGCTAATTGACAAAAGAAAAGATATATCGCTATTGTGTGGTAACAGGAAATTAAATGTCGAAAATGTTGTTAGCGGTGAAGGTTTTCTCTTTGTAAATTTCGAATCCATTAGCTTGGTATGTGTTTATCTGTCGCCCAACGTAGGATTAAACCAGTTTAAAGAAGACCTGGATAATATAATGAGTTTTTGCCGTAATATCAAGGAAGAATATGTCCTGCTGGGGGATTTTAATTCGAAAGCACTAGAATGGGGTGCCCCTAAGACGGATAAAAGAGGCGAATACCTTTTGGAATGGCTGTCGGAGCTTGACCTCACGGTAATAAATGACGGGAACCAACCTACATTCGTAAGCGGAAATAAAACGTCGTACATCGATATAACCTGTGCAACAAGGCAGTTATTTAGAAAGATTCAAAAATGGGAAGTCCTAGATGTGGAAAGCCTTAGCGACCACAGATACATTTACTTCGAGGCTACAGGGAATATTCCTACGAAAAGAACAACACAGAAGCAGAAAACAATGCATTGGGTAGACTGGGAATCGTTTAGAAATGGCTTACAGCTCATGCTAGCAAATAAGGATACATTGGAGAAAACGGAGAGTGGATCGGAAATTATTAGTGAGATATACCATAACAGTACAGTTAAGGTGAAAGGAAGAGCCAAGCATGTACCTTATTGGTGGAACGAGGCTATCGAGGAACTGCGGAAAGAATGCATAGCAGTGCGCAGGAGAATAACAAGGCAAAAGGGTAGAGGAGACTCACAAAACGAGGACATAGAAATATACAAGGGCATGAGGACGAAACTCAAGAACCTTATTCGGACCTCGAAGAGATCGGAGTGGGTAAAAGTATGCGAAGAGGCGGAGGAAGATTTGTGGGGTACCGGGTACAAGATTGTGACAGGAAGACTAGCTAGGCACAGCCCAACAGATATGAGCACACGACAGAAGGTCGAAGCGATAAACGAGCTGTTCCAAGTAGGCAGGGATTACCAGGAACAATATCAGGACGAGCGAGAAACGGGACCCAAGTTCAGCCCAGAAGAACTAGAAGTGGCGATAAGTAGAATGAAATTGCGCAAGGCACCGGGCCCAGACCACATTCCGGCCGAGGCACTGCTAGAGGTGTTTAGAGTCGACCCTGACTTGTTGCTCTGTATAGCGAACGATGTCCTGATAAGGCAGCGTTTTCAGCGAAACTGGAAAGAAGCGAACATAGTTCTAATTCCGAAGCCAAGAAAATCAAGCGAGGAACCCATAAAATATAGGCCAATATGTCTTCTGAACACCATAAATAAGCTGGTTGAGGCAATGATAAAGAATAGGATTATGGAGGAGTTAGAGATTAGGCAGGGGCTATCGGAGCAACAGTACGGGTTTAGGCCAGGCAGATCAACTATTCACGCAATCAAAGAAGTGACTACTACGATTGAGAGGTGCAAAGGAAAACTGCTTGCAATTATAACGATCGACATTAGAAACGCATTCAATGCGGCGTCATGGGGGCATACTTTGGACGCAATGAGGAGAAAAGCCTTACCGGCGTATTTAATAAATTTGATGAGGTCATATCTGGGCGAAAGATATATCGTAGTGGATAAGGAGGTCAAAATCCCTATTAAAGCGGGCGTACCACAGGGCTCGGTTCTGGGTCCTGTTCTATGGAATATTTTGTACGACGGATTACTAAGGCTGTGCTTTCCGAGCGGTGTCAAGGCAGTAGCCTTTGCAGACGATTTGGCACTCATTACGGAGTCGGATGATGCACAGGATCTGGTGCATAGGACCGAGTTAGCCCTAGATATGGTCAACGAATGGCTCAAAAAACACGAATTGGAGATGGCACCGGAAAAAACAGAGGCGGCCCTACTTGTAGGACATAGAAAGAAGGAGGCCAAGGAAGTAAAATTCACGGTGGGGGGCTGTTCCATAAAACCTAAAAGAGCAATCAAATATCTGGGTTTAATGATCGGTGGAGATAGAAATTTCGGCGCACACATCACATACGCAAGCGAAAAGGCGGATCGGAAAGTCTCACAGCTAAGCAAACTGTTACCTAATATAGGAGGACCGAGTACGAAGAAAAGAGAGGTGCTGGGAGGGGTAGTCAATTCAATACTGATGTACGGCGCGCCGATTTGGGCCGACGGATTGAAAATAAAGAAAAATAGGGAAAGACTAGAAAGGGCCCAACGAAAGTATCTTATTAGAGTAGCTAGAGCGTACAGAACCGTCTCAACCAAGGCCATACAAATTATCACAGGCGCAATACCGATACACTTACTAGCATACGAGAGGAAAAGAATCTTTGAAGGAAACGGCCAGAGTAAAGAACGGAAGAAGGATGAAAGAGAGGTAACAATTAAGAAATGGCAGGAGGAGTGGGACGCAGAAATTGAGACGGGTCAGTGGACAAAAGCCCTAATTAGAGATATAGGAAAGTGGCTGGCTTGCCCACATAGAAGTCTTGACTTTCATGTGACGCAAGCGTTGTCCGGACATGGATGTTTCAAAAAATTCACCAAGAAGATCGGAAAAGAAGAGGATGAAGGGTGCGCCTACTGCATGGAAGATGTGGACTCTCCTGCGCATACACTATTTAGCTGCGCCAGATGGCATAAAGAAAGGGAAGAAGCAGAGACGCAAGTGGGAAGATTAACCGAGGAAACCCTGATTGACACAATGATATCAAGTAAAGACAATTGGGAGGCGATTAGAGTCATGATAGGGAAAATCTTGAGAAAGAAAGAAGATGATGAGAGAATCAGGCAAGGAAGAAGGTAGGACGCATGGGCTCTTTAGCTGCTGAAGTATGTCGAACGACGGCGGTGCCGGCAGCTAAATTGAGGCGTCGAGGTGGTTTTAGTGGGTAAACAAGGCTTGCACACCCCGCCTTGGAGTCCTCACACTACCGGGGAAGGGAGGAACCTGTACCCGGTGTGCATAAAGCATTTCCACCCGGCAAAAAAAAAAAAAAAAAAAAAAAAAAAAAAAAAAAAGGGTAGGGTAGGGTAGGGTAGGGTAGGGTAGGGTAGGGTAGGGTAGGGTAGGGTAGGGTAGGGTAGGGTAGGGTAGGGTAGGGTAGGGTAGGGTAGGGTAGGGTAGGGTAGGGTAGGGTAGGGTAGGGTGGGGTCCAAATGGCTGGTACCCGGGTCTCGAGGTGTTTCGGATTGCCAATGTCCGGGACGCATTAAAACTCGAGTAACGCCCAAAGGCGCCCTATTGCGGCCCAGTGTCTCGAAAAGGCTGTTGAGATAGTCCTGAGAAGGACTGTTGAGATAGTCCTGAAAAGGACTGTCGAGACAGTCCCGCGGGGCCCGCGGTTGCGGCCCCGTGAGGGACTGTCGAGATAGCCTTGAAAAGACATACCAGCAAATCCTATCTCCACCTCCTCGTGGTGGACCCTGGTAATGCGTGTTCCGCATCTTACGATGCGCGTCACGTAGCCAACGGAGAAGGGTGAAAGGCGAATTTCCGGCGCCATATCGGGAACAAATTGGCTAAGGGAAGGAAAACCCTGAAATAAAACCCACGGGACCAAAGGGCCGGGATGGACCTCAGTGGTGCGGTGGGTTGTCCATACTTACCGTGCTGCTAAATGCTGAGAAGTCCTTAGTCCTTCGTGGATGAACCGGCAAATCCTATCTCCACCTCCGAGAGGTGGTCCAAGGCAATGCGGGGCGCGCTCTGGGAGTGCGTCTCGTAGCCAACGGAGAAGGGTGAGGGGCGAGTCTTCGGCGCCTAACCTGGAGCCCATGGACCAGGGAAGGAAAACCCTGTTAAAAAATAACCCGTAGCCCAAGGTGTCATGCGTACCGTGCCGAAGGGTTGATGGCCACGCGTCAGGTGGTCTCGAACGGAGCCTCCGGGATACCAGGCGACCTCCCGGAGTAAGTAGCCTTAGCGGGGTAAGGGAGCACTGCCCCGCCGGACCTTTAGTTCTGCCCAACGCGTGGGAATCATATGGATCCTAAACAAACAATAAACCTAACAGGGGATGACCAGCCTGAAACTGGCCAAACAGACCAATCGGGAGAAAAAAGATGCCTGCCTCATAGCAGACTAAATTTAGGAACTAGTCCGTTACAAAGAAGTAACTCGCTGTCGCTGCCGAACGCGGAAGGCGGAAAAAAGAGAAAAAAGTTATGTGATACATCTTTCAGAGTAGAAAAGCCATATAATAAAATAGAAAACCCAGAAGCGGGGTGCTTGATCGAGGCAATCATGAGAACGCTGAAACTAGTTGCAGAACTGGATACAAAAATTACAGAGATGCCTAACACTCAAAGGGGCATTAAAGATACGGCTACAAAATTAAAATACACGGTGTCAACATTCGAGAGAGGAAGCATAAAAAATCTACTCGAGAAAATCAGATTTGAAGAGGTCGACAA